GATGCATAAGAATCAAGAAGTTTTAGTAACTTAGTTAGTGTGCATGCTAATTAGTTTACACAAGTCTATTTAAGCTAGTTGTGCCAACAGGCACGTGCTCAAATTTAACAAAAGTTGCAGGCTAAATGTGTCTATAGGCTGGCACTTTGTTGGAACTTCCGCTCTGTCAAATTTACGTGTCAGACTAAAAAGTAAATAGATTTTGAAGATAAAGGTGGTTGGGGAATGCAAGGCCTGACAGGAGAAGAGAAAATGGGAGAGATTTTGAAGTAGTGAGGATATGTCAGATAGTCCTTAAATATATTTTAAATGTTATGTTTTGAAAGTTGTTTAAAGATATAATATATTTTCATTTTTTTACCGACAAGAACTAAATAAAAATTGTGATCTTAATAAACTAATCGGAAATAGAAAATCTCATGATTTTCTTATCTTTAATATTGAAAAATTATCAAAATATTTTGTTATACGCGTGTTTTGAAGGGAATGAAGTGTCTTTACATACAAATTGTCTAATTGCAATGTGGCCTCGTTCGCATTTTGTTAAAAGTTTGCTGCTGCTGGCAACCCTTTCAATGCGGTTTCATTAGTGGCCAACTAAATGGATCTTTTCTATTTTTATTTTTTTATTCAATCTTCGCTTTCAGCGGTTTTCTCTTTACTGCACTGGAAAAACTTTCACGGTGCCAATTTTCGCCGGGAAAACTTTTTTGTCGCCTTCTTCTCTTTGTTGCGTATAAATTGCTGTCAATTAGTTTAATTGTTTTTCTTAGTTTTTTTTTCCATCTTCATTTTGCTATTTTTCTGCTCTATTTGCTTGATTTCTTTTGATGACCATTATTGATAAGTTGTGCAATTGTTTTGCAACTGTTGTTAATTGCAATCAAACACAAGAGTTCTTAGGAAATAAATGCGACTAATAAATATGAGAGTTTATGAGTTTTCAATCATTGAATCGAATTATTGCTTAGTCGTACACGAAACTGGTGCAAATATTGTAAAGAAAAATATATATTGAAGAATAAAATAAAAATGGGAAATAAATGCTTTAAAAATGTTCCTTCAAATTGGTCTAGTTAAATGAGACAAAGCTTACGTTAGGTGAAAGCATTGTAGCAGCAATTATTTGTATTAAAATTGATGATGTGTTTGCTTGGAAGTCACATATGTAATATATCTTTGTCAACTCTGGCAAGAAACACAAAAAAATAGAAATCAAATAAAAATGATTCCACCACAAGCTAGAGGTATCACAGTAAGATGATCAAAAGTTTTCCGAAGCAAAAATATTTTAATTTAATTCAGCCACACTGGGAAGTGCTTCTGTAAGGCAACGAGAAGTAATAAAAATTGTATCAACATATGCTAAATAAATTAAATTCTCAACGAGCTGCTTTAACTCGCACCACGCAAAACAGCCCATATCTAAATAGTACAAAAAAAAATTTGTCTACGCTTTTGACGTGATAAAAAGCCTCAGCAAGCAGACAGGACATAAGCTCAGGAACTTACAGACACACAAGTGTAGTATTAATTTTAATTAAAGCCAACAAATTGTGACAAATGTGGGGCCACATTGAAGAAAAGATTTGAGGAATTCATTTAGTATTTTCAAATTTTTGTTTGCCTCAAAGATATTACTGGACGTTCTGTCTTTGGGCATATTATTAACAGCTTTTTCTTTTGCTAGTCGCCTGAAGCTAATTAGAAAAGTTTTTGTAAGTAACTCTCAGCTCAACTTTGCGTAAGTTGATTGATGGAAAATATTAACAACTTTCTTATAAAAAAAGCGACTAAATGTAGCGTGGACAGCTGCAGCATTTGGTATTGTTCGAAAATTAACTCAAACTTGCAAGACTGTCGCAATGCCTCTTTGCACTTACTATCTAGGTACACTTGAGTATAGATATGCCTGGTATAACTTTCGTGCATACAAAGTTCCTTATTAGTTGAGTATTACATGGAGAATGCGAGTAGATGCAAAATATCCCACTTAACTTTCTACTTGGCTGCAATTCCCATTCTGCAACTGAGATATGCGTGTGTGCGAGTGTGCGTGTGTGTGTGTGTGTGGAGCGCAAACAACATCGTCCTGCCCTGCGGACATTTTCGTATTTGGACTCTGCCATACCCATATTAACATAATTCCCATACAAGGGCCTTGAGCTAGGGCGCAATAAAAGTAAATACAATGAAACTAAACACTGTCCACGCTGGGTCCACGATAACTGTATAACTGCGCGAAATTCCACAGCTTGTGTGTTCATAAAAGGGGGCATAAACGCTTTTATGGCTCTTGGCCCCTTTATTTGAGTATATATAATAAAAAAAAAAAATGTTTATCTGAATTAGAGCGTTGGGAAATGTGCTGAAATTATTGTGCATTAGACAAGCTTCAGATGTGAAAAAAAAATGCATATTTATTTTTGTGGCACAAAAGTTCACAGTTTTGCAAATGATAGTCAAAATTAAACAAATCATGTTATCTTCAACAGTTGTCCTTAAAGTAAAATGTTAAAAATGGTTTCTGTGAGTACTTTGGCTTGTATTCTAAGCATTTAACTAGCGCTTGCCAGCTTTGAGTTTCGCTTTGCTTTGGCTTTCCTCTAAATGTCACGCAGCTGCTGCCTAGCTTCCAACATCAATTAAGATATTCTCTCTTCATCATGCTTTGACGTTGACATTTTGCCTCTTTACTGCACAGCCCCTACAACATTTATGAAGAAATATCCTGCTTGGTTGCATCTGCCATTGTGTCACGATGACAACAAGGCAGAAAGTGGCATCAGCATCCAATATCCATTGCAAAACTTTATTAAAAATTGAAAATAGGGCCAGGAACCTGCCCAACTACCCAACTAGTTTAGGCAATTTTATGCCATGAATGCAAAGATGGCTGAGCTTTAAGTTTTCGAACTAAATGTCACAAGTTGCCTATTCGACGATAAATTGAATATAATTGTTAGCTCCAAGTTTAAATGCTGCAAGTGTTTTTTCTTTTATTCGTTGAACAATAACAACCCAAGATTTCAATTAGTAACAAACACGTTTCTTTTAATTTAAGTGCATTCACCTATTTTTTATCTGTAGTCCTGCAGCGAGCTCAGCAAAACGATCAATAAATTATGTCAAAGGTCTTGATTGTGCAGCGTAAGATGTGGAGCTGTAAAAGCAAGCGATTTGTCTTCTACTGTGCACACGTCCAACATGTCGTATGTGTAACAAGTGTTACAAGTGTTGCACATAAATTCGATAGCTGGCTGCAACACTTGGCAACCGCAATATAAATAAAACCGAGAAGTTTCAGTGTAAAGTTTTGTGCGCTTTTAGCAGAAACAAAATTGTTTTAGTTGTACGTCTACTAAAACAGTTGACCAACAAATTTAAAGCAATTTGTTTCTGACCCTCACATAAACATTTAACTTGGGACACAGATAGTAAATAATGCAATTATTTCAGGCACCAGGCTGAGATGCTTATCTCTATGCCCAACTTTAGGCATAACATTTAGAAATCTATTTGTCGGAATTATTTTAGAATAGTTTGTTGCACTTTATTTTTAAACTTTAATTTGAGGCTGTGTTCAGAAAAAGTTTAAAATTAAATACAGAAGTATTTATTGTGTCTAATACAAATAAGATTTATAATTTATAAATTTTAGTTACTTTTATTGAACAGCCTTTATCGGCTGTTAAGCAAAGTGATAAGATTCCGAGCTGATATGTTATATGGAAATACCTAATGTGGATTTATTAAATGAAGATAAGCAAATGTTACCTGCATACGCTTAAAAATGACCAATGTTTCTTTTGATGTCGCGCCTTATCATTTCGACAATCTTTTTGATAAGAGAGCAGTCTTAAGTTTTTCAGTGGGAGCTATCGTTTGTCTGTTTTCAAAATGCAATGGGAGAAAGTACTAAAAGTACATTCGCCTGTGCATCTATATACTTTTATACTAAGCAGAGTATGTTTAAGTGCTTCAATATGCAATGATTAATATTTTATTATTATAACTATCGATAATAAAAATCATTAAAATAGCGATAATTATTTTAGTTATCTATAATAATAATAGTTAAAGTTATCGATAATTATAATTATAGTTATCAATAGCTCCATCTGAATATGTCAGCGATTTCTTTTTGCCACAATTTTAACCACTTAAAGTATTTAAAATTGGTTTAATGCTTGTTTTTATAATTGTTGTTAAAAGACTTCATGATTTATAATTGTAATATGGGAAATGTGCTCATCTGTACCTCCACTCACAAAATGAGGACAACAATCAGGTAAAGAGTGAAAAGTTAACAAACATTTTTATGTAACAGCAAAATCATCAAACTAATAATTAAGTCGAGTTCAAAAAGTTTTAGCTTGTGTTTGAATATAATTCACTTCAGAATTTAATTTGGTTCCTTCGCACTCTTAATGCCTTCATTTTGTGCGCCCTTTAGCTGTTAGAGCAGATCATGTTGCCACATTTATTCACGTGGCAGGCAGCTGTAAATCTGTAAAACCTATTACACGGAATGCATTAGGCTGCATAAATATCTGCTGACTGTAACATAATTCAGGGCCTGGCAAAAGACATTACTGGCACACACGCACACACTGTGAAAGGCACAGAATCACACGCGCACATCCACATGCACAGGCCGGAGTCCTTGGAATTATGGCTGATTTTGTGCTGCTGCTGTCTTTTTGCTTCCTGCTTCGACACTTAGCGCTTTTGCTGCGATATGCGCTTGGCTTTCCATTTTTGGCCCAAAAATTCACACACCCAAGAAATTTGCTGCCTTCTTGGCACAGCTCAAAGGGGAAGCAAACGATGTGAGGGATTGAAAATTCCGTTGCTTAAGCTGATTTTTATTTTGCCGGTAGATTAAACAATTCCTTTAAAACTCGCATGTTCAACTAGTTTGTAGGTTGTCAGAATTTAAAGTTTATTTTGAGCTGATGAAAAGTGAGTATGTAGATTACTTTAACAGCAAGCGACAGTTTAATTATACAACCAAATTTATTTTTAAAAGTAAAATTAAATACATTTAATTGTAGTTGAAACTATAAAATAGATGAATGCATTTTATCCCAGGACAGCAACATCAACATCTAACAAGATGAGCGCCGCTCACTTTGGCCGTTTTAGAGGCGGTTGCTCGTTAAAACGTTACCGGAGGCCTCCGCGGGGAGGAAGTGAGTCGACTTGAGACGCCTGATCAATAAGGATCGCGCTGGGTTTACCTTGTAGAAGCAGTCAGCAGCTGTGCCCTATGAGTTACGCCTCCATGGCCTCCATGCGATGTTATTGCGTTTATAGTTATTATCAAATTAATTCAAATCATACATTAGCTTCTCTGCATTGTTCGGTTCCTCGCAGTCAAACGAAGCCATCATGAGCTCTGGAAAAATATGCAAAAAATTGTATTCTTAATTATAAGTCACAAAATAGTTATTATATAATGATCAAGAGAGGCTTTTGCCTTTGTTGGGCTGGTTTAAATAAAACAACGAAAATTTATATGAAAACGTATACGCAGACAGGCTTCGCTAACAAAAATCCATACAAAATAGCATTAAAGTCTTGCGAAAGTATTATATATTTAAAATACTATAAAAGCTACAAGGTATGGGGCATTATATGATATTTTGGACAGGTTTATCATGTTCAAACTTTTCGAGCTTCACTATTCTCAAATATCTGCAAAACCGTAAGGCAAATAAGGGCTAACCTTATTTTCCCGCTGCTTTTTAAAAATGAATTCGTTTTAATAATAGAATACAAGACACTTTCTCATATACACTACATAGCTGCTCTAATAGTCCAATATATATATTAAGTTGGTTAAACGGTCAACACGCGCTGCTTGAACCGAGCTGATTATGGACGCCCTATGCCCTGTTGCCCTGTTGCCCTGTTGCCTTGCGGTCAAGTGTTGAGCAGACGGAACCCAAGAGTTTCGTGCAGCTGAGATTGTAACATTTTAATAGAAAAACAAAAGAATGAAAAAACATGGTTTAATAAAGTTACAACAAACTGGCGACTGGCCAAATAAAAAAAAAAAAGGCAGAAGAAAGATGTGTGCCTCGAGTGCGTTGTGCGTTGTACCCTCTGTGTGTGTGTGTGTGTGTGTGTGTGTGTGTGCGTTGAGTGTTATGCGGCAAAATGTGGCAGCCATGTCCAATTCACACCATGAGACCATTAAAATTCTAGAATGATGCACAGCGCCTGCTTGTTGGTCAGCGTTTGGTCAACAGATGTGTTCTTGACTTGCCACAGAATGCCACTGGGCATCCTGGTCCTGTGCCTTTCTTTGGCCCTCTGTCCCCGTCCCTGTCCCCGTCCGTGTCCCGGCGTGTTTATAGGATTTGAGCCCGCATTTTAGTATGCTCGAGCACAACAAAAAAATACACACGCACATGGAACGAACATTTTTGAAGTCCTAGCTAAAAAGAAGAAAAAAAAAGGTTTCCCATTGTTTGTGAAAGGATTAAAGCGTGGGTTATGGTATCCACTTTTTCCTTGTTCACTTTTAATAGAGTCGTGTGGGTAAATATTTGTGCACCTCCTTCGTGCGATGAGGATTTGGCCTAGTCTGGTTGCCGCTCGGGTTTTGTACCATGTACACCACATCCTGTGTGCTCTTGACGAATATTTTGAGTGCTGAGCCTAACAAGCGGCTATGAGGAGAGTCAACAGCAAGTCGAAAAAATTAAAAAAAATTTTTTAATTTTTTATCAGCTCTATCCTGAGCCCGCAGTCCCTGGGACCGCAGCTTGATTGCTGTGCAGATGCCAATAAAGTGCTGACGATTTTTGATTAGGAATTGTCCAAAAATGCACAAACTGATTGACAGGGATTTCAATTGTCAATTGTTTCTATTCGAATTTTTGAGACAATCGCTTGAATAAAGCACATTTTTGTATTCGAATTTGAGCAAAAATAATTCTGTCGAGTGTGTGAAGCAAGAAAAATTTGTTTGAATTTAAAGTCCAAATGTAGGCAATTTAAATCTAGTACAGTTCTTGAAATCTTCTACGCTGATTAGAAGAAATATCGTAATATTGTTTAAGTTAAACAATAACAATTTTTTTATATTTTTATTTCATATATATTTTGTTCCCGTATAAACCCAAAGATTTTCAGAAGAGCAAGTTTTTTTTGAATATTGTAAAGTAGATCTCTCCATCTATGGCTCAACCTATGCGTTATATCGTTTGTAACGAGCGAAAGAGAAAAAGTCATAGATAAATGTTAATTTGATAATTAGAAATGGCGTCTGACCTGTGGTCGCCGTAAATAGCTTTCCCTAAGGCGACCGGAGCTCAGATCTTTCTTTTACATTCTGTCCACCGTGGAAAAAGGTTGACTCATAGTAAGAAGTGCGCCTATTTACAGAGAGAGTGCGCTTAACCTCAGAGAAAAAGTATTTTCTTCTTGAAGAATATTTATAATACAAGTGATTGCCAAAAAAAAACAAAAAAACTCTAAGTATCGGTGAACCATTAATTGAAAAAACTAAATTCAAAAAGTGCCAGACCTAATCAGGGGTTAGTTTTAATCTAAAGTCTAAATACCAATTTTGTCTCAATCTGTCTATTGCAGGTATGGCGCCTATTAATATTATCATAAATATATTAGAATGAGATATTACATTATTTCGGCTTTCTGCAATTAGTAGCGGCAATAATTTCTTTTTCAACTGCCAAAACCCAAAATATGCAGAACACCTGTAATTGCCTTCATTAATTAGCCTTGACGCAAATAGCTAAATCAGCTGAGCCCAGCTTTATCATTTTCTTTCGTTCTCTCTCGCCTGCTCGAAAATGGGAGTTCGAAAGAGGAATTTGGGAGAGACGATCGCCGTCGCCGAAACTCAAAAAATCAGTTGGAAATCGTTCCCTGGTGGCTGACGTCGTCAAAAGCAGCTGCATTTAACTTTGTCGCGCATTAATTTTCGCTACATACAAGCGAACCGGCATTTTTTTCCTTTTTTTTTATTAAGTGAAGTGTTAGTTTTTTTTAATCTGAAGAATGGTTAGCTCAGCTAACAGAAAAGTGTAAATTTTGATAAGTGTGAACACCATGGGCGTAGCTAAGTCGCCTTAAGCGCATAATTTAAATATTGCGATAATTATGTGTGAGTTTTCATGCTTGTTCGGCAAAAGAATGTAACCGCATGGTTAAAACTGTAATTCTTCGTTTTTTTCTTTAACTCCGTTTTTATTGCCTTGCCCTACATATTCTTTCCTTTGGCCTATATTCTCCTTCTCTCTTTCCATGCTCCGAAATTCGGATCGCCATAGTGCTGGTGAGAGGCAAATTTTTAAGTAATTCGAAGAGCAATGATCGAATAGAAAGAGCGAGAATACAAGTCACTTGAAGTTCAAGAAAAAAGTTTTTATCAAGTGCCTTCTTTTTTTTCTAATTTTTTTTTCTGTGCAGCTCGAAGTCAATTTTTTTTACAGCAGATCATCGCACATTACATCGATGGAAGCGCTTTCGGAGATGGAGTGAATGCACGTAAGTGAAGTAAACCTCTTAAATTTCTATATTTAGCTTCCTTCAATTTCATGAGTTAAAGAGAATGGCCTAATAAAAAGAAAAAAAAATTTGAATAAGCCCCGTTAAAGAGCAAAAGAATCGTTAAAGAGGAAATATTAAGAGAGCAACCGAGTTCAATTGAGCGTTAATTCTTTTACTTCAGTAGCATTACAATTTTAACAGATTAAATGAATTTTTGCCGCATAAAAAATAAAATTTTTTTCTTTATCATTTTGTCATAGATCAAATCAGAGCCTCATCTATTAAGAAATCCTTTATCTATATATATTATAATTTTTTTTTCATTTTTTTCTTTTTCCTAGTATTAAGAATTTATAATGCCTTAACAAAATTTCCGCTATTCCCCACAAAAATCAATATTTGTAACGAAATTATAATTATGTGCTAATTTGCCGTGTTTATATTGAAGCTATGCGTCGTCGGAATGTTAGGATAATTTAATTTGGGTTGTTTTAGGGATCACCGACCAATTGTCTGGTCAAGCGGCCCCGGTGATCATGGTAGGGTGGGGAACAGCTGCCGCATTGACACCAGCGCAGTGTAATAGCAACAACAACAGCTATTGTCCCTAGATCAATCTATTACACTTTAACTCTTTAACTTTAACTCTTTAACTCTTTAACACTTACATACGCTGTATGTTACATGCTGTATCTATTCCAGAGAAGCTAATTTTATTTTCATATGTATTAAGCTCAGTTATCTCCTTAGCCTGTGAAGATAATAATTAGACCTAAGCCTCTGCTTTCTGCCACTTAATTGCTTTGTCCCGATTCGCAAGTCACAATGAATACCAGATTAATGAATAGCTCATATACATAAATATATATACATTTATGCGGGAATGTATTTGTCTTGCTTCTAATGCCATGAAGTGCCATGGGCGTGTGTCTAATGAGCACAATTGATATAACAAACATTCATATATGCATTGCATAAATTAGTAAAATTAAACTTGAATCTCCTTTTTGTCAGCCTGTTTGTTGTTGCATGGGCCGAAAATTCCTTGGCCTGTTTGCTCTGTGGCCTCTGTCCGACTTCTGCATGAATAATGGCTACCATATTTGGATAACAAAGTACAATTGATTGGATGATTTTAATGAAAATTTAACTCGGCTGCACTAAGTGTGCCGACCTTTCTGGCTGAGTGTTAAATGGCTTCTGCCCTTGGCAGGCCATTTGTTGTGTGAATAAAATTGTCATACAAATTGGCATTAAATTTTGCACATTTAACATGGCCTCAAGGCAGCAACTCACACACGCACACTCGGGAAGTATCTAAATTGTAGTTGAGAATTTCATAAGTGCAGATACAATACTTGAATATTTCAATTTAAAATTCCTTACGTAGTTAAGGCAAATACACATTATTCATTTTTCTCACCAACGTTTTGCTGATTCATTTTGTTCAGCTCTGGTATTTGCTAAATTCATTTAGTTTTCACAGACCTCGTGCTGAAATGGTTTTCTGTCCCTGGACATACATATATATATGTTATATATATGCAGCCTTCTATAAGGCTGGCAGGCTGGTTGACATTAAACAATGCGGGGTTTGAGCCTGTCTGTGTGCGCAGGATATGTGCCGGCACGTCCGACTTTAACGCCCTTCAGACTGACATTTGTTACAACATGAGGCAGGGCAAGGGTTTGACCGGAGAAAGCGTCATCATTGCCTTCATGTGGCATCCCAACATATGCTGGGAGCTGATAGAATAACGCTTGTCTGCTTTTTTGTGGTACAAATATACTTTTGAGAATTTAATTAAATTTGTAATTCAAAGAAAAAGATTGTCTTGTACTCCTGTAATATTTTGACTTGGAGACAAATCCTAAAATGTGCTTTATGGTCCGCGATATCCTAGAATTATGCACTTGGCTACCTTAAACCACTTAATGCTTGTCAATATGCCCAGGCAAATCCTTGAAGCTAAGCGCTGCATTTTCAAAATTCCAGAGCTGTGCAAATTACTTAGATAACAACGAAAAATGACTTGACTGGAAAAACATTTATTTATAGCGAGCAGCAGCCAGGCAAAAAGTGCACTAAACGTGACAGGAGGAAGTTTTTGAGACTTCTTTTGCATTTCACGATGTTGACGTTGCCTTCAAGTTGAGCGAAACTTCTAAGTTAAAGGACACTTTTGAGTTTTGCGGTTCGAAAGGAAACTGATTTAGAAGTTCCTGTGGATAGCTGGACCAAAAAACTTAATGCCGGAAAATAAATGCGATAGATGGAAATAAGTTTTTGATGTCAACAATTTGGGAAAAAATGTGCACTGCGTTTGGCAAGCTAATTTTAGTTTTAAAAGCTACGATTCAACATTACAATTTAATTAATTATAATTGGATATTGTGTATTATTGAGAAGAGCATCTAGATAAGATAGATTGGTATCAAGTATGTCTTTTATACATATTTTAGAGCTTGACAAGAAATTTCTCAATCTAATATGTCAATATTTGGAATACACGCGAGATTTCTTACGGAAAAATTAAGAATAAAATATAAATATGTATATTTTTGTTTACTCGATATATTATTTTGCACAAACTGAGATTGTGAATATGTGAATAGCTTAAAAGAAGTTTTAACAAAAACCATTTAAAGTTCTTCGTGTATCATCCATTGCTGATTAGCTTTCTTGATTCGAAGCACATTATTCAACTGTTCGGTAAAGTTTTTTATCTTCTTGCCTCACATTTACCGAAGGAGGTGTATGAAAAAAAACCTAACCCATAAGTTTATAAATTGCATTCACCTCACATTAAGCTGCACATCAAGCGTTTTAATAAACTTTTGGGCGACATGTTAAGACTCAGTTGCAGCTGAGGCTCTATTTGAAGAGAAAGAGAAAAAATAAAAATCTGAACTGAGCCATAACTTTTCATTCTTTTCCTTGGCGCTGGCAGGATGCGTTTTTGCTCCAAAGACAACATTTTTTTTTGCCTCTTTTTTTACGATTTTGTTGTTTGTCGCCAGCGGCAAAAGCCTTCAAAGTATCTTAAGCTTCCTGGGTTTATAATGAGTTCGGTCTATGTGGACCTTTCATTTCAGCACTATGGCACTATTTTTGTTTCTCTCACTTTTGATGTCGTCACTGCCGCATTCATGCTCCGCTCTTCACCCCGGCCAAATGCCGCTGCAGAGCAGTGTTTGTGTGTGTGCACAACCCGTGAAAAATATCTCAATGTGCAGGGTGTGCTGACAGCTCAAAGAAGGATTTAAAAACTTTTTTGCGGTCTGGCAGCACTGCACATGGTGTAACTTCTTGTAGGTGTTGTTGTCGTCGCTTCTATGGTGAATCGCTTTATTTCCGTATCCTGCAGCATGCGCTGAAGGACTTGTTGTTTTTTCTTCCACCTTGCAAGTGTTTGTGCATTTATTTTCGCCAAGGACAGTTGGGATATAAACTTTAAGCGCGTGTATGGGAATTATTGATAGCTTAACTGTTAAATTCATGGTGAATCGTTTATTTCTCAATTTAAATTTTAAATACTGCTTAAAAATAAATTGCACCAATTTTATTTTTCTTAGATATTTATGTAAAAGTTAAATAGATTAGCCCTTGCAAAGTTACATAAGACCAAATATTCGTCTTTCGGGCAACGAGGCGAAAATGAATTGTTGTTAAAAAGGGGGACAGGCTGTTAAGCGGGCAAAAATGTGTGCATAAATGTAGCCCTTCGTGGGCATAAAGTGTATTTCTGGCATTTTATTGCGGTTATTCATTCAAATTAATTAGTAACAAATTGCTTGGCGCTGGTGCAAAAGGGATAGAGAATCATTGCCTTGGATTTTATAATGGTTCCCACAACTCTTTGCGAGCTTAAAGAGCATGAAAATTTATTTCACAATTTCCTTGCAATTAATTTAAATAGTTTCTCTCTTTTGCACCAATTAGTAGATCTGCGATGAGAGAAATGAAGTTACGAGTGCACTCGTAAGTAGAAATGACTGCGAGTTGAATTCTATTTCAATGGGTCTTGCCATAAACGGAAAATACGCACGATGCGAAACGATACGATGCGATACTAGTGTGAAAATATATTCGTGCTTCGCGTTGTTCATGTAAGGCGTGTTGAGTTATGCCCTTACCAATTTCTATGATGAAAGCAAACACGGCACGCGCAAAAACTCTAATTATATGCGACAGCGTGTAGAGTATTTTGCTAGCTTAGGTCTCTGGTTTTCATTTTAATTGCCCCCGCTTGTGGAATAATGCCCAATGTGTGCTGTGCCAGCTGCAGTGCATTTAATTTTTCATTTAAAAAATGTAAGTAGCACGAATACACAGACTCACACCCACGACCCACACACACACACTCACACACACACACACATGTTCATTCACAGAGGCACTTGAAGTCATTGCCAGTTGGCCGAGGTGCACTTTAAGTTTCCACCGAACAAACAAACAAACACTAAAATGGCCGACTTGAGCCAGTGAAAAATGTGCAAAATGCGATAAAGCACGTGGAAAGTGCAAAGAAAAAAAATGTGCAAAAATACAATAAATAAATATATATAGAAAGGAAGTCTCTCGGCAGCGCCTAGCGCAAAGTTTAACTTGCAATATTACTTACCCGCTTCGCCAAGTTTTGTAGTTCGCTGCATATGGGTGCAGAAGTGCTCGTACTCGCCGCTAGATGGCCCCTGTGTCGTTTTCATTGCCTGCATGTGCTTGGTGAACGCGCCAACAATGGCCGCCATTCGATCGAAGGCAATCACATTGATGTGGCCATTTTGTAAACTGCAAGTAGTAGAAGAGGGGGGTAACAGTTGTTGCAAATAATGTGCTATAAAAGGCGAAACGGTTAGCGGACTGTTCACTGCGAGTCGGCCCGCTAAAATATGCACGGCTCCAATTTAATGCATATTTCACTCTCCTATGCAGTGCAGCTATTAAAATCAGTGGCTGCTCGGTAATTGTGGGTTCGAATGCGCAATTTATGTTCACGCATCATGTCGAATGCACGATTTGTGATGCGCTTGAGCTTGGGAATGAATTTGCTGTTGGCCAACTAAATTGTTCCACAAAATTCAATATTCCAGTTAATGAATATCGCACATCTTCAATGTGAACTGAGCTCGACTAAATTTGATTGACGAGTGTGTAAAAATTAGTGTATTGTTTAAACTTGAAGTGGGACTTTATTTCGGCTTTCAATGGGAACTTTTATTAAAAATTGAACATCTATCCGACAGCTGATGGGCTTGTGGTTTTTTTGTAAAAGCCGTGTACAAATTGCAATGATTCATAGGTGTAATTAATGTGCTATTAACTCTGCTCCAACAATTTTGAAACAATTTGAAATTAATTTTCGTTGACATTTTCGCCTATTTTGTATTTGTGAGGACTAAATTTTGTGCAAATAGTGTAAAAAATTTGGGTTTTATTTGTGGGTAAATGTTGAGTGTTTCCTTTTTGTGAAATTTTCAGCTTTAAAGGGGTTAATCGAATAATCGTGGGTTGTGCCTGTTCATATTTCAAAGGGCATGCAGTTTAGAATTTTTTTTTTTATTTAATCGTTTATTTATTAATAGTGTTAACGAAATTTGTTGGATTAGGCAAGAGTAGCCCAATGCGGTTTATTCTTCACGCTGATTTTTATTGATTGCAGCTATATATACATATAACAAGATATTTATGACCATTTATTCAACTTTTTATTGTGCGCTTTTTACCATGCAATAAGTTAATTTTTTACGATTAAATAAGAATAAATAAATAATTTGCGCAGGGGCCATATGCATGCATGATTAATATGCATGATCATGTTTTCATCCGTGTCATTTACACTTGAAAATATTTCAAACATGATTATTTATTTTTCCACTCTGTGGTTAATTAAATAAAAGCAACACTTCATATGGAACCAGTCAAGTTTGTGCATACAACGTGACGTATGCGAAATATTAATCATTCAATTCGTTGGCAAAAAAGAGGCTATTCAGTTTTTTGTAGTTTTATTTTTGCAGACTTTTCGTTTAATTGAATCAATGTGAGGAACAGGTAAAGTGGCATATATGAAAAACTCACCGCTGCAAACAGTTTTCTCGTTCGGCCAGTGCCAATTTAACAATATCCGCAAACACTGGAATAACAACCCAATCATTGGGCTTGCCACAAATAGTTGCTGTTGTTGTCGTTGTTGTTGTTGTTGTTGTTATTGGTGGTATTCCTGTGGCTGTGGCTGCTTCCACAGTGTTGCTGCCAGACGCTGGCACCTCTAACGTTGGCTTCTCCAATAATGTTGGCATTGCATTGAAACCGGATATGCCTGTTATGCCAACTGGCTGCCCAGTGGCACTTGTCGAAGGCTGCTCATCCAAATCTTCTAGGGCAGTGGATGGTGAGGATGCTGTTGCTGTTGTTGTTGTTGTTGCTGTTGCTGCTGCTGGTACTTCTACTACTACTGCTGCTGCTGCTGCAGATGATGTTGATGATGAGTTTTCCGTTATCGATGATGATGCGGCCTTAGGCTGCTTATCAGTCTTTAGACTATGCTGCTGCTCATTGAGAACAATTGCCTGCTTCTGCCATAAATGTCCGTGTCCTTCGGCATGCCGTTGCATGCAATCCAATTGTTGACATGTCACTTGCAATTTGCTCCACTGTAATAAAATGGAAATACGTACATAAATGAACAGTCTGTCAACATGTGACTAGTGTGTGTACTGTGTGTGTGTGTGTGTGTGTGTGTGTGTGTGTGTGTGCGCGCTGTGTTCCATCCAAATGGAAAATATCTTTAATTCGTTTTATTTTTGTTATTTGTGCCTTGTTTCGGCGCGCTGTAAAAGTTTATGGTTTTGTTTTTGCGCCAGTTTTATGTCTGTAATTTGCGCTTAAGCTTTCTATCGCATTTTATGGTGCGACATTTGGCATTTGCCTTAGATAAGATTTTAATTTGGATATTCTTAAATGGGACAATAATTACAGGAAATGTAAAGTTCAAATTTAGTATAAAAGGCAATCTTTATATCCTTTTCAATTTATTTTATTTACATCATTTTAATCGCTATTTTGCAACTTATCTGTTTTGTTTAGAAACTATTTTAACGGCCTATAGACTTGATTTCAATTACTCGCTAGCGAAGGTTTTATGCGACTTTAATCAAAAATGTGCATGCACCAGAATTTTTGGGTGTAATTTTTATGTTCTATGCTGACATATTTATGGTTATTTCCTAGTCATAAACATTTCAGTAGACACGCAACTGCAAAAAATATGACAACAATAACAAAAAAAAAAAAAAATTGCCATACAATGCATAAACCACGCGCCCCCTGCTGTTACAAAAACCTTGCGTAGGTCTGTGAATTTATGCAATTCCGTTTAATTTTTTCATGCAACCATTTTTTGTTCGTCCTTTGTGCATTGTGCAATTTACTCTTTTCAAACAACAATAACAACCAAAAAAGGTGAAATGAAAAGAATTCTCAACCTGCATTGCATAATGAATAAAATATAAGCCAAAAGGCATTTAAAGTATCAAAAGTTGAGGCAAGTTAATTCCTCAATTCCAACAGAAGAGTGTTAAAAGAGGACCCAGCACAAAGAAAGGGCATCCATTAACTAATTACAAAAAATTGTTATGAAAACTAGCTTCATTTTCCACTGAATGAATAGTGAGCGTCGAATCCCCTATTCAAGCATTTGCGGGCGAGATGCCAAGTATATAAAAACACAAAAAAATAAAACAAAAAGGAAAAATATAATTTTGATAAAAAATGTGCCAACGCAGCGTGGGCTGATGGTATTGCGGTTACTTGGGCGTGGTTATCCTTTTTTCCTATTCTTTTCCTATTTATTTGCTTTTATAACTGATGGCCTGCAGTTACATAAATTCAGATATAAATTATGTCTTTTGTAATTTTTTTCTTATATTTAATTTGTGATTTCAAGAAAGAATGCTCCCATCAATTGCGTTAGCAAGCGGAAATGCGGAATGATGTTACATCAGGAAGAAATTGTTAAGCGAGCAACTCTTGGAATTAAATTTCAGCGCAGCGAACAATGCTTGCAATCAACAATCATTTTGAACTGAAAGTTAAGCTTGAGAGTTTTCTAGCTGCTCAGCTATTATTTTTTGGGAAAGATTTGTCATATTATTGATGTGCCATAATTGCACACGAATTTATCTTTTGGTTGAAAATAAAATGAGAGTTTACAAAATATTTCTTCCTTAAAAACAGGCATTGGTTCTTATACATTTTTGTTAGCCTAGATCTAGGTTCTTCACCAAGCTTCAGCCCGTATAGAATTTAAGTTTTCTCGTGGATGGATTCTGTGAATATGTCGCAAATGATTTTTCGTAAGAAATTTTGAATATAAATTTGAACGCGAAAAGTCACCCTCCAAAACATTGACCCACATACATACCTAGGAGGAATAGAAAGTGTGATACACCTCTCAAATGAATTTACACAAAGATCTTTGAAAAGGATTTTGAGGCCGATCCGAAGGTAACAGAAAAGTTTTATACAATTGTTAATCATGATTTTTCCACACTTGCGGGTGGAATTTCCCAAAACCCCTTCTCAGCATGAACCTCATAAGGTACATACAATACAATTTCCTATCTCTTTGGGCTTAGGCTGTGCGCTGATCATCAATCAGTAAGTCAGTCAGTCAATCAGTCAATCAGTCAGTCATGACAAACATATTTATAGAGAGATTATTTTAAATAAATAATCCTCTTACTTTTGATTATTTAAAATATAAATATGCTCAGCTATTATTATTATTTATTATTAAAACATTATTCAATTAATTATATCTTTGATTTGGGTACTTCACTCACCGTTATTTTGAGTCTGGCTATGGCCGGCGATTCGAGTGATTCCAAGATTGCCGTGGCACTGTTGTAGTTGCCCACAAGGAGACAATATTGGGCGACCCCACTCCAGAGCTCCACTGTTCTGCTACGGTCTTCAATTCCGGTGCACTGAAAATCAAGTTGTCAGATGTTGTTTGCATATGGAAGTTAGTTGGACGGCATTACAATAGAATATGCGGACCACGTGACTTTACTAAAACTTTAACGAGTCGCTTACACGGCCAACTGACAAACTGTCGATGGGGAAAGTTACGAGCAGCATAAATTATATGCCAGCTCGTCCTATTTGACTATGCAAACACATGCGGCACATGCGTCGGTCGGACCATCAAGGGACACGTAGCTCTGCATATTTGACAAGCATGGGATTTTAATTCAATCCGCAGGGTCTAAGGCATCATTCGTTACGTTTAACTTGGCCGACCTGGACGCGTGACACAGAGCATGGAGGGTTGGCAATAAGCTCACCTGCAGTATCTCATTGCAGACAAACAGACGCAGACGTGCCGACCAGTCCAGATACGTTTCCAGATTGCAGGTCTTCTTTGGATCCTGGGCGCCCGGTGGTCCACCCGATGATATAGGTTGGTCCCATTTCTTCTGCGGGTGTGAGACGAAGGGTCGAGACAATTTGTTGTTTTAATCATGTGAGGCATTCAATTGGCATAGCTAATGAAGCTGCCTGTGCTTATATTAAAATCATATTCGTATCGAGGGGTATTACTTTTAGTCATTATCATCTAATTTTATAAATTTAATCTTAAGCCCTGTATCTGCGATGTTGTATCTTATCTAATGTGCGTCATATATTAAACTATAATAAATTATACAAATTATGTTCATTTAAAATGCCTCTCGAATCGAATATTGTACTCTTTAGAATACTCGATACTAAAAGTAATTAAAGGGTATTTCCCACTCTCCTGCTCACCTGCTTGTCCAGGAGCACCATGCTGCTGCACTGCACAAACTCCTCTGGTCCAATGTGCTTGGCCAATTTCTTTTCCAGTCGACACAATATTTGCGCATATTGAGTGGCTGTTGGGCTGTTGATTGGTGCAACGAGCTGAGGCAAAGAACACCATCAAGTTGATAATGCTAATTATGTGGGGGAATCAGCAGAGCTCACCTTATCGTTGTTGGTCTGGCAGGCACGCAGATCGGCCTCGTGTTGTTCTAAATCAGTCAAGCGTTGAAGTAAGGCACTTAGTACTTGGGAGACAACGACTTCCAAATGCGAATCGGAACATCTGCAATTTTCAATTGGCTCGGTTACAAGTTGAGAGTTCAACTAGTTGGGTTTGCATTTACCTAGCAACGATATGTTTTACATGGCTCATCATGCGCTCGTCACGATAATCGTACGGAAACTTTTGCGTCCACTCGGCCAGGAGGGCAACTAATGTCTCCAAGCACTGGCCATCGGCAACCGCTGCCAACAGTTTGCCGAGCAACTCATGGGGTCGCAAGAACAGACGTGATGATAATAAGAATGAGAACAGAAATTCCTGCAATAGATAAACACAAGTGCGAGATTAGTGTAACTCAAATAAACCCACAGCCAGAAGTGGAATTCCCTTAGCCTTATGACACACAATGGGTGGGAGAAAAGTATTCCATTAGCTTCATTTGTTGGCTATTGCCCCGGCTGAAGGGCTACGCGTTGTCAATTCGCTTGCAACGAACTAATTATTTTTGCTCTTTCTGCTTGTGGTTTTTTCCTTGCCACAGGAATGTCGCTCCCTCTCACTCTCCCTTTCTCTCATTCTCTGTATCTGTCTCTGTCTGTCACTATGCTCTTTGTTCATTGGATTATATGCTTATCTGCCTTGGACTGTTTTATAGGGTTGAACACTATCTGCTCTTTGTTTTTGGTGTTCGCTTGTGCCAACAAATTAGATTTTTGGCTAGGCTTGTGCTTTAAGATTTTTTTTTTTTAAGTTTGGGTGACTTATTATGGACTAGCTCTCTTAAAGAAAACATTAACTTGGGTGACCTGGGTAAGAAAATGTAAAATATAAAAAACTTTAAATCAAGCATTTTGTTCATTAGTTCGATTTTTGCTAAATTGCCCCAATTAAATTTTAGACAATTTTTACTTTTGCCATAAAGTATATAAATTGTAACCATAAATAATTATAAATATATTATATATTTATTTAAATATTCGCTGTATTTTTCAATTCAGTCGTAAATCGCGTTTTGAAGAAAGTTTTACTGCATGTTTGCTATCGCGATAGATAATATTTATAAAAATCATTCAACGAACAAAAGCGTTTGAAAATATAGCCTATAACGAACCACATATATTTTTGCAGCTGTTATGATACCTGAGACTTAAGTCTGAAACTCTACATTGTTAATTATTCTCCTTGAAATATATTGATAATTGTATTAATTAATATTCTTATTAAATAATAAGATAGGATAGGATAGGAGGATAGGGCATGATCGGATTATCAAAACAGCCCGTGCTTTGAGGACTGCAATATATTCAATTTTCATTTTGTGATTTAAATTATTTTTCTTACCTTATCTAAATCAATGACATTTTTGGGATTGAGCACCTCAGGGAATGAGTCTATTGGGCCGGAAACTATTTTACCATTTATGTACATGATGCCGCCGGAACCCAAAACAGAGCTCTGCAAACAAATTGTCAATAAATATTCCGAAAATTAATGCAAAAGATAAAACAATTTACAAATGATACGCAACAGTGAACATAATTTTGATAAATTACCTCAAAGCTGATATCACATAGACTGCGTTTGTGCGTATTTTTGGGGACATCATATTGAACAGGATCGTCCTTTGTTGCGAGCGGCTGCAGATGTAAATTAATCATAAATTATAAATAGGTTGAATCACGGGATTTCTATTATATTGCCACCTTAAAATGCTGTAATCCCAGTTCCAAATCATGTGCGTTTAGCTGCTCTGCGCTGTGACGACGTCGCAGGCGCATGCCCTCGTTGGCAAATCCCAGCTCCAGTCCAAGGATGCCAGGCTGTGCTGCTTCCGTAATCGAGTTGCTGGCATTGAGTAGGAAAATGCCCACATCCGGCTGAGGTGTCGCATCCAGCTCGAGCCCACAGTAAACGTCATCGGCGCTAGTCTCGCTATCGGAGCTGCTCTCCTGGCATCTGCTGCGTCTTCTGCTCCGGTGACGCTGTCGATGGCGGCGGCATTTGTCCTTATCGCGATCCCGTTGACCGCGCGACTTTTGCAGCACGGTTTGCTTGCAACGCGTGCCGCAGACAATGGCTGATATCTTACTGGCATAAAAGTACATCGCCATGTGTCACGTTCTGGTTGCCGCCCGTAGCACGGTCATGTGTGTTTGGGGTACCTGGCTCTAGCTGAGAATTGGGTTGTGCGATGTGCGTGTTTAATGCACAATCACGCCCTGAACAGCTGGAAGGCTGTCGATGCTGGAATTTGGAATGCAGGTAATGCTATCTTCCACTGCACGTAGCTAAAATTCGTCAGGTGCGTGCGAAATCACATTTCATTTGCGTCGAGCACACATTTTTAAGTTGAACATTTCTCCAGTTCCTGAAAAAGATCCAAAATCGTGTCTTTAAAAAATTTGCAGCAGCTTATGACTCGCTGACGCGGCAACAAGTCAGCACTGCGGTCAATCGGAGCACATTACTCATACGTCGTGTGGCTCATAAAAACACGCACTCACACACACACACAGAAGCACACGCCAGCAAGCACTGAGTAAATCACATCCGTTAGGCTAGGACTATTATCCCTTTGGGGCCACTTGGCACTCATCAAGCCACAGATTTCTCCGAAGTACGTGTGTGTGCGCGTGTAAGTGTGTGCGCCATCAATAAGGGCGGAACTTTTGGGGGTGGACAGCCTTTCAATTCAATGTTTTGCCATCAGCTTTGCCCGATAGGAATCATTGAATCTCTGCCGATGTCCGGAAATCTGCTTCAAAAAAAAACACATCGTTTCACATGGACACATTTATAGTTCAACTGTGTGTATCTTCCATGTTTATGAACAAATTAAAGTGTGTTCAACTTTAGCTTGTATGTTGCCATAAATGTTATTACTTGGCATAAATGAAATATATTTCTTTAATTAACAACCAATGCAAGTAAGCTTAATAAAAATTTATTATAAATATAAAAAGAGATAGCTCATAAAAAAACTTATTGATAATTGGAAAATACAGAAAAACTATTAAGATATTAATGCGTGTAATCCTTAGATTAGATCTGAATACACAAACGCTTCGCACAACCTTCACCTGCACGCAATAAAAATCACCTGCGCACAAAAGCCACCCGTTCTATGACATATTTCATAATATATTCATAAGCTTGGGCATGAGTGTATTCAGAAAATGAACACGTGCGACTGGCAGTACATATTTATTTATGGCTTATATGTTTTTTACATATTATTTACGCTCACACCTGTCCACCTGCTTATTCAAATGCACTGCTGATAAGTAAAATCAAATACAGATTTTCATATTCAAGTGATTCGAGCGGCAGGAGGTAAAAACTTGATTCGTTTTGATAGATTAAGTACAGAAGGGCTTTAACGTCAAGTCAGCCATAAATTAGCGAATATCTAAGTCAAATTTGGTGTCGCAGCACAAACAAACTATTTATTAGAAGTAGCTATTTATAACTTTTATCAGAATCAACTTGTGAACAGCTCTGACTGGATTGTTAAAAAATAAAATAAATGGTTTGTCTAAATGTGTAAGGATATAATGGAAAAAACAGTTGTTGCTTGGATATACTTCCAACTTTATCTACATCTATATATTTACACATTTACATATTGTGTAGCCTACATTTCGGGGCTGGACATTCTGAGGCTCAAGCGAGCACATAACTCATGATATGATATGTGCCATAAGCTTGTATACGTTACGCTGGGCACGCTGCCAAACTTTCCCCTTTTCCGGTTCGCAAAAAAAAAAGATTGGCAATAAAATAAATCTTATGACAGAAACTTATTAAAATTCCAATCATGCTTACGGCGAACTGCGTGCTCAACATGTCGTGAGCCTGAAAAACAGGCGGGGTTAAGAAAATATATACATTGCTTGGCAGATTCTGTCGCAGGGCATGTTTTCAATTTGAATATTGACAACGCACTTGTCCAGCATTAAGGCAGATAATCCCATCTCAACTCATTTCAATATTTTCTCGTTCGGCTGCACAACAAAACAAAGATATATATATTGGCCTGACACATTTGATGCTGTTTCAACGCCTTCGGCATTGTCTACACTTTTATGCCCGAGAGCACGGAAAATATCAATCAATTATATATTGTGTGTATATTATCTGACACCACTTGTCCAGCCCAAATCGTAGGAGCGTACATAATTGGGGGCAAATGGCAGTGGGCGTGGCCTTGCCAATTCAGTGAAAGTCTGAAGCATATTTGTTGCAAATGACTTCGCCGTGACTATATAAATATTAGATAAGCTCCGTTAGTCAACATTTTCGCTGAGTTATGTGTATGTCTGCATGGACAAGTTTTTTTTCAGCAGAATTTCTGTGCCTACTTTACCATTGATTGGACGTGTGTGCGATATTTGCGTTGGCTATAAAAATATTTATTAAAGCTCTGGTTGCATGTCAGCCAGATTTTTTTCAACTTTCTATGTTGTTTGATGTTGAAAAATGCATAATAAAATGAAAGAGAAATGTGCTTGCATAGTGTTTGTTTTAATCGGAGTATTTATTTGTAGCCAATTGACAGCAATAATAAATTAATTGAATTTGATCAAGTTAAATCGATTTATTGTTGAATAACATTTTAATTCGAATGCGTTTTTTCCATTACCACATTACATTTCTGAATAATAACTCGAATCATATTTTGTGGACCACAAAAATACGTTAAGTATTGACTATTTACTAATATTTCAACAATGCAATGTGTAAAAAATATTCAAATTTTAAATTTCCTATCATATATAAAAATGAGATACAAAATGCAAACTTTTGATTGAACATTTTCGATTTTTATCTCCAAACTTGTGCCAAACATCAACAAGAAATCATTATGGTTGTCAAGAACGACAGCAGCTGTTGTAAATATCTTAAATCTATTAGCATAAAGAGTGAAGCTGATGAAAGTGAACTTATGCTGACGATGTTGTGAACAAGCAGAGCAGCAACTGCGTCAACAAACAACAACAATCAGTAAACACAAGATAATAACAACAAATTACGTAATTTTTCTTAGAAAATGTAGGAGGAAGAAAAACTTTTTCCAGAAATAAAACATAAATGTATTTGTTTTTCAACTTGAGCTATGCAATTCTTCTCCTTTGACTGCTTGCACTTTTTGAGAACGTTGTTGACAAAAGATTTTCATGTCATATTTGACATAGAAGTGTATCTGTTTCATGATTTCTTGGATTTCTTTTAAATAAAATAATGCCTGTGATTGGTCGTAGCGCAATCTGTTTACACTTTTGCAGTTTAAAGAAAATCGGGCCACACATTTTGTTGATACTCATATATTTTTTGGGGTTTCCGCTTTGTCGGCACTCGTATTTGTTGTGCTTTCCGCTCTGTCGATTATCTGCATTTGCTGTGTCTCACATTTTACTTGACTTTATGTTCCACTTGATTTTATTTGTGTTGCTAACTTTTTGTCCTTTTTCTTAGCCTTTTTTTTTGTTTTATATTTATTTGCCAAATGTTTTCTATTTTTCATTTGATTTTTACTTATTTCAATCCGGTTGTACCCACTTTTATTTCATATCAGGTGCAGTTTGTCTAAGTTGTTGAAACAATGCGTACAACAGTTTTTGATAAGAGACACAGAAAGTCGCCCTCGCTTATGCGATCGACAATTAAAACAATCATTTTGTCACCCTTGTTGCCAACTCAACAACTAAAATGTTTGCTGCTTGTTTGTTTGTACAAGTCCTTGACAATCATCATTTGAATTAGATTTAATTAGCATTTTTTGTTTGTTTTTCTTTGTCTTGGCACTCGAGGGAGAAATTAAGTGCTAATAAAAGTTAAAAAGTTCTATAAGTTTCATTGACTTTGTCTAGTTCTCATTTTATTCAAATTCTTGTAAGAATTTTGGGCTTTAAGGCGTAAGCGGAATGTACCTTTAACTACATTTTACAGTTTGTCCCTGACACATTTCTTGATGCGACGGCTACCTTTACAGCTTGGCCAACAAATTTTATAAGGCACAGTTAAAACGGTTGCCAATTTTACCTATCCAATAAAAGCGCACAGAAAAGACAAAATTAAAATTTAACTTGACTTGCGAAACGTGAAATATATCAAAAACAAATTTACAATATATTTCTTTTAATTTCAATTTGTCACTTAATTGAAATATTTTTTTATTTTTGCACTTGTTTTCGGCTTTTTGTATAAATATGAATTGTAAGGCCCATATTTGCAGCACTAAATTCTATATTCGAAAATAATAATAAATATAAGGCTGTGCCCAAGAACAACAGCCTAACAAATTTTTCTAATTTATGCACAAGCATTCACGAAAACATTCAAAGATATCATTAATAATGCCAAAAGTATATAATATTTGTGTATCGATATAAATTGATTTTCTTCGATTTATAAAACAAATTCCCATTTCACAGTAGCTGGATTCCATATCTTTATATATATGCGAGCGAAATGCGCCATACGGGGCGTATGCGTATTTATTGAAGATAATACGGTTTAATCGCATGTTGCATACTTACTGGCGCAAGCGGTTGGAATGAGCCTTTTTTTTTTAAATTATTTTTATTGTTGTCTCAATTGACTCTTGACTGTAGCCGACAGCTGTGCTTTTTATTGCTTTCACTTTTTGAAGACCTTTTAAATATTTTGTATTGTATTTGAAAACCTGAATTCTTCGAATAATTTGTTTCTTATTTCTTCGAACACATATTTGAACATTATATTTTTCACTGATTTACATGATTAGATTGAGATTTACAGCAGCTTCTGCCTTCTCTTAGCAAGTTTTAGTCGCGTTGATTAACCTTTTTTTATTTACAAATTTTTTAATTACTATTAAATTCTTTCACTCTACAAGCTGAACGCCCCTAAGCAACCGCCAAACGAACCGCACACTTTGAAAGTCGACAATGAACTAAATTTGGCATATCTGTTGTAGCTGCTTATGTAGTTGGAGTGCCCCACATTGGCGTTACAGAATGGTTGCATGCTGCCATATCTGAAGGAAATTCCTCAATATGTATGCGAAACAAGTTGCATACAGCAATTCTCTTGCAACATGTTGCGTGATGAACCAGCCAGAAAGATGTTCGAGACACTTGTGAAGCCTGCATCCGAAGTTTGGCCCAACTATTGTAGCTGCTGTGCCCAACATTGGCTTTTCCTGCTGCCATACTGGGAAATTATCTGAAGGAATTTTCAAATAAGAGATGCCAACAAGTTGCAATACTACATCTGCTTTCTGCTACGTATTGTACATGCTCGAAATACATGTTCGAAATAATAATGGAAAAATGATGAGCATAATAAGTCGACCCATGTCTAAATTTTAACGCTTACAAATTTTGGTAGACACACGTGTGTCTCTTTGTTAAGTAAATAAGCCGTCACAGAAGCCAAGTTTAACCCTGCCAAGTAACTGATATCTTTGTTTACACAACTACGTTGCCAACTGTCTGGCATTGCTTTTTGGCCGACTGGCTGCATTGTTTATTGCCCCAACCAAGCTGTCACATAAAATAGCTTCTATCTAGCTGAATAGGTTTCCCTACTTTCTAAATCTTGTTTTTCATACCCTTGTAGAAGACCTTGCCATGAAATGTTTAACGTGTAGATGGGGACATCTCCGAATCTGTAAGGTATCAGTATCAGATTTGTATCAACAGTTGAGAGGATTTATGTGAACTAGTCTCACGGCTTGAAAGCTATTGCAATCAAACTTCATATAGATCCGTCTTTCTGTACGCAACATCCTATTAACATTGGATGGCTGTATCATATAGCTTTACAGCTTCATTATTATTCTCACAAATCTGAAATAACGTAACCCATATATCTACCAGGGTATTTAATCTTCGACTTGTCGAAATATCCATTCCTCCTTGTTCTTTATTTGATATATATGTTGTAAATCTGGAGTTAAATGACGTAAAGTCTTAGACGCAAAAGTTTATATACAATCAATATGACCAATTTGGGTTTGAATTTAATAACATTTGACACACACGCAATAAGATAGAGACCTTGGAAAATATTTTGTAAGATCGCTATGGAAGCTTTTGTGCAGTTTTCCAAAGTAATAGTTTGCAAAGTTTTAAGAAGTAGTTTTATTTATATCAATTTTATTGTGGATTTCGGAAATTGAGTTCAGTTTAATATAGTTTTTGAAGTTGTCGGAATAATAACGCTAGGCTTAGCGTTCTTTAACACTACGTTTTTAAAACGAAAAAGCTTTATATATAAGTATTTTGCTTGCTTCAAGATTTTGAGCTTTCGATTTAATAGAACCTTTGTAGAACTTTAAAGATTCTTAGATTTGAAATTGATTTAAAAATTGTTTATAAAAACGAGTTGAGATTAATTTTGAGGTCTGTGTTTTTTATTGAACAAAAACATTATTTAAGTAATAGACTTTAGGGCTAGATTGTTAAACATTTATTTTTTTGCTTTTCAGTGCTTTAGTTTAAGCAATTAAAATCGTCGCCTACTAAGTTTTCTCTCGCCTTAGCTAAACTCTAAAGTGCAGTCATTTGAGGGAGCTGCACATACATATGTTTAATCCCTTGAAAATTCACATGTCACTCGGCTGGGCTGCTGGCGCTCAGATAGCCGATATACGAAGCAATATGCATATAATTTCGATATGTATGTATTCGACTTGCATACCCTGGCACTGTGTCTAATCCAAATTCAATTGCTTAATCCAGCATGACTGGCAGCGACTGGAGAGCGACTTTGAAAGATGGCTGATGGACTGATGGGTTGATGGGTTGATGCTTGGCGGTCCAGTGGGCTTATGTTTCTCCATTGGCAATGCTGCCCCCCAACAAGCTTAACGCATCAGAGCATTTGCTTAAGTTAGCTATTGAATTGCGTAGTTACCTACATATACGAATGTTTACATTAGTATATATGCACACGAAGCACTCTCATATGTCAACATATCATGTTGCAATTCACTTTCGGGCGCTAAGTAAGTTGTACTTGTAGTTTTATCCGTGCGAGAATGCCAAATGGAGCTGGCTAAGATGCTTACATAAAATCACAATGTTGACCCTTTTATTTTGACCAGAGCTGCTCTTTTCTCAAGTTTTATGTGTGCACAGATTTTTTTGTGTGCCTGGAATGGACCCGCCAAACCTAATATTACCCAGCTTCGTCACATTGAGTAGAGGGATATCCTACATTCTGCTTAAAAGTTAAGTTTAATTGACCATAAAATACTTAAGCTGTGAAAAAAATATAACCTCCTAAATGCTAATAGCAAAATTTGTTCTTATTTCGTCAGACTTAGACTGCTGCAGATTTTGATTAATATATCTGTTTATAACCATTGTTTAAAGAATGTGTTAATTATTAAAAGGCTCTGCCATGGTATTTAATCTTACGCATTTCATGAGGCTACTTTGACAGGGCACGCATCTTTGCAAAGAGAGCGCCTGATTTCATTCGGCAGATGCAATGTGGTTTAATTAGCACGGATGACAACGCGTGCCACATTCACAATTATGAGTACCATACTCTTTGTACAATTCTGGGCATTCGGAACGTGCGGACGGCTTTTAAAACATATTTTCAATTAGCGCCGCGACTGTCATCTGGCGCACAAGCAGCCAATAAGAGCTTGACAAATAGCGCACGTCTGTAAACAAACCAAATGCCAGCCGAATTTCATTTTTTTAATGAAGTCCTTTTTTGTCTGCTTTGATAAGGGGTATACATTTTCTCATAAGCATAGCCACACACATACGCGAGCACGTGCATCCGCCACAGGCATTGACAAAAGCGCCAACTCACATATCCTGGCTTAAACATTGCAACCTCTTGGTAACTGAAAAACGCGTTGAACATTTTGGTTGTACTTTGTCATCAACATTTCAGTATTTTCCATTGTCACAAACAATGATGCAGCGAAAATTCATTTAAGATTTGACAAATATTTTTGTGTTTCATGAATATTTCATTATTTGAATTTCATTCAAAGTTGATTTCATTTTCATAGCTGCATCCACTCTTAGGCGATTAAAAAGGAGAAGTGGATAGCAATTTCGAGTTCGAAAGCATGGCTAGAGCTGCGTCGATTTAACCAAGTCTATTCAACTGTTTGATTATCAATAGAACCTAACTGCTTTCAGCTTTCTGCAAGTTGACTTTCGTTTCAACGTTAATCTGTTGTTGGATTGAGTCGCACAATTGTTTTGATTATGTCATTTGAAAAATCAGCAGCAAAGAAAATATTTACAATTAATTCTACATATGTTTCCTTATCCAGGTAATTTAATTTTATTTAAATAGAAAACAAGTATAAAAGCAACTGAATTTGCATTTAGTTAAAGTTGGTTCAAAATTGTGAAAGACAGAATGCGTTTGGCTGTGAGCACAATATATCTGGCTTTCTGGATGGTACACTTGGGGTCAGAAAATGGACATGCCGATGAGAGCCATTTGGAGTTCCCGCCACGAAGTCCAAATTATGATCACAATATTTTTCATCAGCGACAGTTCAATGCATCTGAAAATATTACAGATGCATTCAATTACGGTATTGAAGAGACGACCTGGAGATTACAGGCCGAGTTGAGACGGGTACCAGCTTAATGCCATCATTTTTCAGCAATCATAAATTAACTTATACAATTTCGTTAGGTAAAGCTCGAGTTGATAAGTAGATTATGCGGAAAGCCTGGCAGGAAATGTCGAAATATTGCGGATTGTTGCTCATTAAACTGCACACAGCGGCCTAGAAGGTGTGTGTAAAATTATTTTTAGGTTTTCGGATATTAATAATTCAATTTTATATAATTTAATAATATTGAAAACAACAACATAACAGTTTGCATCTATTTGTTTATTAATTGCAAACTGGCAGTCAAATTTATAAAATAAATCAGATTAATGATAAAGGTGGCTGTATGTTTATGTTACGACCATAATTTATGCACAAAAAACAAGTAAAGTTGCCAAGAGCATAACAAAAGGCGTGCGAGTAGAACTAAGTTTAGGAAACATAATTAAGTATACGCCATGTGCTGCCAAAGCAAAGTGTTAAATTCTCACTACAATACTACATTGTGGATAAACTTACGGTCAGCTGTCACCAGTGTGACTTATTTCAGGTATAGCAAGTGAAAGAATGCAAAGCAAAAATGGTTAATGTCATTCTTCATTTGCCAAGCGGAAATTGTGTGCAAATCAAGTTTTACGACCGCAGGGAAACGAACATTGAAAGCCAGCCACAATGGACACAATGGGACAGGGCTGCCGGCGAATGCTAATCAAGACAGGTCTGACCCGAAAATGCATATATATTATAGTATAATGGAAAAGCAGCGGAAAGTAGATGAAAATTGTAAAAACAGCTGCTGCAGATGGATTTGAGTGTAACATACTCATATTTCAATTGTGCGCCAGTTCTGGCAACAGTTTTATAAATTAATAACAATAATTTATACACAGTGGCAACTACAGCAAATCATAATAAATTCAGGAAAACTTTCAACATCCACAACTAGAACTACAATTACAACAACAATAAGTTGCATTCGGGTCCTAAGTCGACAATTCTCTCCCGCCGTGCTGCTGCTGCCTGATTTTGCATGTAAATTTATAACCAGCCCCCAGCTTGCCATTGCTTGGGGTTGGCTCTGTGTGAAAAAACTTGTTTATGAAACACGCTCGGGCGAAAAATGAGCGCTAGAGTTTGTTGTTATTTTTTTTTGTACCCCACTGATGTTGCCACAATAACAACACGTAAATCTGGCACCAGCTGACAAGTAGTGAATTTCTCTTGTTATGCGCCACTCAGCACCATGGCGTAGCTCAAAAGTTGCACAGCCAGCCCAGCCACACCCGGACCAGGCGCAATCCCATCCATTGAAATATTAATGCTAATGGCTAGAGGGAAACATTTGCTGATTGTGTTCTCCAGCTTGAGTTTTGTGCGGTGTCAGGGCCCAATGCCAGCTATGACGAGTTTTCCAATAAATTAATGAATCTTGCAAAAGCTGTTGCAGTTGCAAGCAATTTCCGGAAAGCATGCCAAGAATCGACAGCCAAAGAAGATATACAACAAAGTGCAAGGCAAGTTGTGCATGCCAAAGTGGTTCACATAATTTCTAATATGCCAGAAAATGTTCATGGAAAAGTTTTTCAAAGCTGCAGCATCCATACGAATGAATGCGAGATAACGGATCAATCATAATATGCACAAAAATTCATCAGTTTTACAAATTTAAAGCTCAATTTGATAAGATTTTTGGATAAAAGGGAACTTTATATTTGGCTTTGCACTGTGCAAAACATTTTACGATTCGACACAAGCTGTAAGTATTTTTGAACATTTGAATTTATGTGAAATGTTATGCAAATGCAAACATTTTGCTTTTCCCTGCTTCGGTTTGCCACAATAATTGACCAAAATTGCAAATTTCAGTTCTGGCTAAAAACCTGGTGTCTTAAAGAGCGTAACAATTTAGTTGTCGACTGGTATGAACGGCTGGTTACCCTAGCTTGCTGGACCGACAATAATATGAGAAGAGCTGTTAATGAGTGGAATTGCAATTAGTGGTAACGAGGAAGCAGTCAGTGTGAAATTAAAATCAGTAAGTGAGCTTTGGGAGATAAATGAATGGGATGACGGGTCAACACGTGAATCCTCTGCTCCGCACTGGAGACCATAGTTCCCTAATGCCCTTTAAGCTTATATGTATGTGACCTAACAAAATTAACCAGACACGAGTAGGTTATTCTCTATGTTATATTTAAAGCTTACTAATAAATATGTCATTTTAAGTTCATTGTGCAACTGAAAAGAATACTCTTTCTACTTTCTGCTTTCTGCTTGTATAGGGTCTAAAAATTGTTTTATGTTGGTCAAGAAATTACCTCAAATGCTGTTGGTTTTGTGTATGTGTTTTGTTACTTGCCACTCAAGTGTGACAAAGCTAAGTAAAATAGCTGGCCAACCGCACAGTCACGTGCCAGGAGGGCGTACGTGCCGAGAATTAAAAAAATATTTCAAAGTTGTCGCTCACCAAATGGAGTAGAGTAAAGTAGCATAGTGTCAACCATAAGCGGTCTAAATGGCAAGCCAAGTAACCAAAAGCACAGAGCTCACAGGGAGCAGCAAAGGTCGTAAAGCTGGCATTTCTTGACGGCTCTTTGCTGTCAGCTGACGAAACTCTAAAACATTTTTAAATTTCAATGCCAAAAAGAATGCTGCATACTTTTATGGGCGACGGCATCAAGTAATTGAATTTTGATGAATTCACTTTTACAACATAGTTGTTAAGAATTCAAAAACCGCCTGCAGCTGCTATTCGCGTTGTACACATTCGGATAATTTTACAACTGGCCTGTAAATTTGGCCAAAAAAAAGGGGGAAAAAAAAGAACCGCACAATTGCTGCCAGCTGTGGCCAGTGGAAGACATCAAACTGCAAACTTTAGTTGTCGGACTGGCGAAAACCCTACCCAGCGGCTGTCGCATCTCTGTGTGGATCAAGTCACGTGGCATTTGTCAGTGCTCCTGAGTGCACATCAGAAGGTGTAAAAGTTTTCGCCAAAGTTCAAGAATCTTGGCTGCTTTTAATGAGCTTTTTGTGCGAAATTTAATGGCAGCCAAAAGTTTTTATAATTAGCCGGAGGATTAGTTTTACAAAGCGAGCTAAACTGGCAGCTTTGCACTGAATGGCAGATGCAGAAAATATTGTGTGAAATAATTATGCAACTTGTACTCTACTAAAGCTTGCATATAATTTTGCTAAAATAGTCGTATTTGAAGATTTGGTAAAATATATATTTACGTATATATCTCGAACAGTTATTAAACTCCGCTCGAAAAGTTAAGTGAAAAAATGTCAAAATAAATTGCAGAAAGAAATTATTGACTAAGAAAATTTTAGTTAAACTACGGTTGACTGGTCTGTAGTAAAATGTCGTAAAGTTTGTTTTCAAAGATCCTTTGCCTAAAGTCTCGGCACAAACCTAATTAGCCAAGTTTATTTACCCGCCGGCCGAACTCATAAATAAATCGCATTTAAAGAAATAATTAACGCAAACTCCAAGTAAATTTCAAAGTCTGACTGCTTTGATTGAAATAAAAGTACAAGATATAAGATAAAAATATAAGTCTCTTCTTTTTGCTTTAAATCATCTGCGTAGAAAACCAGCTAAAAGTATTTCTTGTATTTAATTGGCATTTCCCTGAAAATGACAATAAAATCAGTTTTTTTTCACCTCGTTAAAGTGCTTATTCATTTCTTCTTCGTTAGTCGATTTCTGCGAACAAATTAATGCCAATTGAAATTTAAAAATGGGTACTCTTTTTATTCAATACGTATGCCAGTGACAAAAACCAATAAATTTGCATGTAAGAGACAACATGAAGAAATAAAAAACATTTAAACATTTAATTAATTCAATTGAAATGCGACGATGCAACTTTACGAATTGCAATGTCGAATCCTGGTTACAGCTCAGCTGTATAATTTTGTGCTCTTTTATTAAATTCCCTTTCGAGGTTAATTTGGACTTCTGTTCGGTTATAGTCTTCACGTGTATTTAAGCAGCAATTAAAATACAATTGGATTTGCAAAATATTATTAAAATATATCCATGTTAATAGTGCTGCTCAGGATTATAAAAGGCTTAACACTTTAATTTTATTTACACTTATTAGTGTAACAACATTTTTAATGTAACTTGATGTAGAGAAGTCTGTCCGAAATTAATCAGCTCTTAATTAAACATTTTGCCTCTACATCGTTTTATTTAACGAATTATTTACACACGTTTAATTAGTTTTCTATTAAATAGCATCTCTTGTAATGCGTAAATTAAAAGAAAAATTATTTTGCGCAGCAATAAATTAAATTATTTTCCATTAATGTCAGCGCTATAAATTATATTGACACTATTACGAACAATAATATTCCAATTGCATGTATGTCTGGCTTTGCGATAATGAAACCCATTATTATGCAAGTAAAATAACAAAAATTTAACGACTATGCTCTCGACAAATTACCACCTACTGTGCTGCAAAAGTTTAACAAATGAATCGCTAATAGCTTGCATCTATAAGCATCTTAAATATTGATTTTCCTTCGATCCCGGATGCAATTCAATCCGTAGTAGATGCAACTGATTTAATGGGCATATGTCAAATGGGCGTTTGGGTAATATTATTGGAAAGTGAATGATGATGCTCTTCATTATTCCTGAAAGCTTATATCTACCTTCTCCTGACGCTTCGCATTCGAGCCATGTAATTAGACAGGTAATTAACAGGTCTGTGATTTACATGCATACGGATTATTCCATTTACAGATGCAAATGTCCAGGGCTTTCGAAAAGGGAAACCTAATTATGGTGATTACACTGAAATTCACACATGCAAATTATTATGAGTAGGTTTCATAATGATTCTAATGCGAATAGCTTTAGATGAAAGGAAATTTCATTTATAATCACTAACTCCACAAATATATTTTTTAATAGCCAGTCAGGGGCAACCTTTGTAGTAATTTACGTTTACAAATAAGTGAAGCACTAAAAAGAGCAGCAACAAAATTTGTTGGCAATTAAACTGTGATTTTAAGGATTCGGCAGTTCAAAGTGAACGGAAAACTTTTTGTTTGCAATTAAAACCATCTAAGAGCACGCCTTAAGAAAAAAAAAAACGTTGCCAGGCTCCAAATCTGCCTGATTGGCCAGTAATATCAGCTTTTACTTTTAAAGATATCCTAAATTGGGGCTTATCAATGGTGTTTACTTTTTGTTTGGCAGACTAACAAGGCAATTGAGTTCTAATCCTAAGCAAGCGAGAATTGAATTCGGCAAATAATCTTTTCATTCAATACTGTTATTAGCCACAGCCACGTTGCGTTGTTCGCACTTGGGGCACTTTTATTTATCCGTTTACTGTGATGGATTCTGTGAGCTGAAAAAGAAGGAAAATGTAAAGTGTGAGACATACTTAAGCGCCTTGTATATCTGGAATATTTTCCGGTTGGTTATTGGCACTTTATTCATAAACTTTCTTATATTCCAAAAGGCACAGACTTGTAGTATTCCTCTATCTTTAATGCTCCGGAAAATGCAAAGCTAAAGAATTGCATTCATAAAGGCGAGAGAAAAAGGTAAAAAGAAAAACACATTTTTTCACTCTAAATTGCGCTCAACGACAAAATGCCCATTCAGCAACTTGACACAGCCTGATAAATGGTCAAATATACAAACAAACGGGCGGGGATGTAGGTTTATCACAGCTTTTTTTATTTTGTGCATGCACCATGGGGATATTATCAGGCGAGGAGTCTACGCCTCATTGAAGTCAAAGTATTGGAACAATATGACCCAGACAGAGGCAATATCAATGACAGTTATGAGTTTTTTTCCAATGCGAATGCGAATCAAACGAACTGCTGCAACTAGCTATTGAAGTTAATTTCAAGCTTGAAATGAACTCTTCAAAAGTGAGCATAAAATTCTAGATGCAATTTTACTTCATTCTATGCGGTTCACATTGTGCTTCATTGATTTTCATGTCCTGGCTTGAAATGACAATAATACTGACGGCTGCAAGTGTTGTGTGTCGGCCATTAACTGGGACAATAATGAAGCCAGATCAGTCACCAAATTGCCTGGGTCAACACATCATGCTGGCAATAATATTGCATTTGCTTTTAGGTCAAAATAACGCGACCAATCAAAGATAATTGCGTGACCAGCTCCAGGGCAACTGCTTGCATAAGCGATTATGTGTTCTTGGTGCTGATTGAATCCTGGAGCTTATTCCAAACTAAAGCTTTCAAGTGACAATGCAATGTCTGCTAAATAAATTATAATAGTAGATTGCTTGAGTAAATAAATAAATAGGAGATGTTTTGAGCTTGTGTAAGCAGAATTCGATATGATTGAAATAAATATGTCACAATAACTACAGGGATTATTTTGCCGTCTTTGCTTTTAATGTAGGGCAATAAGCAGAACTAAAGATACATGCTGCTAGAAGTCTATTTTTTCCCAGACTTAGCATTTCTTTGATCCTGCATATAAAAATGGTTTATATAAATTTCAAATTCAAATTTTTTAATTACATGAAATTTGTTTGTTAACCTAACGCGTGAAAAAGAAAAATGTGAATAAATTAGGCAACAAATTAGGTTTTAGTTTATGTAGATTGACAAAATATTTTCCTCTGTAATTTTATCCGGTCGGTCCGCTCATGAGGGGTAACTTGCCAGAGATTAAATTTAATGTATTTAAAAGTACCGACAATACTAAAGTACATATTTTGCTAAGCTATCAAATATTGATGCTTATAAGAAATGAACTTCTTCTACCTGGACATTTTTAAAACTTTCATCTTACCAGCTTAAAGTAGCTTCATAAGTTTAATTTTTGTGCTACCATTAACACTCTTTCTTTATGCATTTACCCTGAGGTGTATTCCCGACACATTTATTCGATTTTCGTGTTTGTTACTTTCCGCTTTTGTGGGCAAAACAAAGAGCGCGTTAATTAAATAAAGGAGAAATGCTCGAGGGTCATAAAGTATAATCAGAAAATCGAGTCCTGGTAACCCAAGGAAAGCCGGATAATGAAAGATGAGCACCAATTGATTGGAGATATATTTTTGATTTATGCGGTCACGACATGCAATGAATTCCATTTCAAATAGTTTAATGCTGATATTAATTGGGCATAAAGAGATCTTCTTTAATTGACGGTTTTTTTTGTATGTCCTAGTTTGTAGAACGTACAAATATTTTTTTGGGCTTGTTGCTTACAAATGCAATTTTGTGTCGAAACTAACTAACTACCAACAGGATGATTTAAAGATTAAATAGTGATATCACAACACAACCATACATGAATATTTTTGATGTACCTGATCAAAGCTAGTGTAGAAATTAAAATCCAATATACACAAATGGACTTTATCTTAAAATAAACTGTCTTAGTGTCAGCTAAGCCAAGACTTGGTGTAAAATTACAATTTGCAAGTGCTTCCATTATCTTATATTCTTGTACAAATTTAGTTATTTTACGCAGCTTTAATCTGCGCATGATACAAAAAAATGTGTCACAGCCGTAAACAGGTTACACACAATCTATGCCAAATTTATTTGTGTCAAAGGGTTACCCATTTATGCAGCAAAGAAGGAAATTGTCCACTTCAACTTTGAACCCAAATAACTTGAGTTTGAGCCGGGCTGTCATTTGTGGGGTCTAATTTGGCATGTAACCAAAGTCATTAGGCATTGACTTTGGCATAGCCTTTGACATTGGCATTCAGGGGATCAATTCGTGTGGGAAGAGCCATATCAGCAGCGAAGGACATTGCGGGTGGCTCTTATAATATTGGGGTACGGAACCCGTAACCCGAATGAACCAAACAATCTCACACATGTTTGCATTTAATCCACTTTTATTGCAGCTTTGGGGCATGCGACCCTCAGTTATTATGCTGATTGTGTTGACATACACACACATGCACGCACATTGAGTCCATTGTTTGTTGTGCGTTGTTGACGAGCTGCTTTTTCAATATTTAAAGGCCTCTCAGGTCGTTTTTACCTTGACCAAACCGTAAAGCACACTGAGAGCTAAGCTAAATATATAAAAATTCAATTTGATATGTTAACAAATCAAATTAGACCTTAGTCTGGCACTCACGTGCGTTGAATGGTGATTTATATGCCAAATTTAAATACATTTTAAATGTCAAGCCCTGAACAACTTAGAGCTTAGAAGCTGGTTTTTGTTGTTGTTTTCAATTCAATTTGATTACCTTGTGTCCGAACTGGAAAGTTTTGGCAAAGTTTTAATTCTTTCGGCAGCTGTCGAACCTTTCACCTGCTCTTCAAATTTATCCTTCCAACATTTTAATTTAATTTGAACTGTGTGTGTGATATTGAGTGGTCCAAACTTTTCCCTAGACTATGAAAACTAACATTACATTCGACCAATTTTATATCTGCAGAAAGAAAAGAATTTTCAGGCACTTGGCTGTACAAAACTTTTGGTCAATAGTAACGCAAAACTTTTGAATAGTTTGCCGTCGAAAGTGGAGCATATTTGATGGGGCTATTGTATACATATATAGCACATGGTTTATTTTTAGTTGTATAGGATATACGTTTTTTTTTCAAATTAATAAATTAAAGCGAACTAAAGAACTAAATAAAAACTAATATACTTTGGTAACTGTTGTGGCTAAAAAATACCCTTTCATACAAAACACACATTCATATTGCATATTGCATCCCTATAATTAAATTGAATAAGGTATTTGTTCAAATATTTTTCTTCGTTTATTATACAATTATAAAAATACGTTGAAGGCATTTTAAAATATTTTAAAATTTCCGATGACCTAACTAAAATCTAGTACTCGTATTATTAATACAACTATTATTATATATTTAGGCCCAAATCACAAATTTTTAAAAGTTGTGTGTACAAAATTTTAGTATGTTCCCGAAAGATGTTTTTAAGAAAAAACTCCGTAAAAGCAATGACCCCGCTACCACTGGGAGATTACCTTTGGTAAAGCCAGAATGAGATCTTATCCTACCTTGGTAGTAATATCCTAGTCCGGCAGGAAGCTGGCGAAACTCAGCGCAAGTTGAGAAACCTAAATCGACAATTTGAACGTGACATTTTGCGTTTGGAAAATTCGATCAGTAATTTGGAGGTTCCTGACAAGTCATTGGCTTCCGCATGGGTTGGTAAGCTGAAGACACGTCCACCAAATATTAATGAAGCTCTTGCTCGAAACTATATTTTGACATATCTCCTGCAATCAACTCAAGTGCAAATGTTCAAAATGAAGCCGTTTTGCAAATCACCACCGACAAATACCTTGTCAAAAATAAAAGCCGTAATGGTAAGCTAACTAGTCACAGGCATACTAATGTACAGTTTTCGAATTTGCTTTTACAGCCACCGATTATGATCAAAACGAAAAACGTTAAGGAGCTGTATCAAAATTCTTTCGATAATGGCGCCTTTTTAAATAAATTACCTGTGCCGCGGGATGGAGCATTTTTTGTATTGCACCTGCGTCCAAATCTGAACTGATTTTAATTTAGTTACAATTTCAAGAAATTATGCACTCAATTTTAAGTTTTATAAATGCGAGAATAGACACATTAAAATAATTTATTTAGCAATTAACCAGAAATGCTAGCCAACTTGTGAGCCACTTTATCCACACTGCAAATATTTGTAATGAGAGTAAGTTTGCAATGTTGCCACTTTACAACGCGCAGTAAATCTGGCAGCGCCAAGCACTTGATCAATATTCTCTGCAAGCGAATTTAAATGGTGATGGTATCTTTAAAGTAGGCTTCTTAAGACATTCTTCGATGAAGGGTGACTTTTGCAAACTTGAGTGGGGCATATCCATTGAGCATTGCATATAATGCCTGACCAAAAGCTCATTCACGTAGTTTAACAACTTCTGACTGATACTGTCGAGTGCTCTTCAATGTTTAATGAACAGATTTGCACATGTTGGCTGTATAATCATAGCATGTATTTCCGGCGCATCAAAGTTGGCTTCGTAAATATTAACGTACAATTGCACTCGCCACATGCAACGGACTTGAAACAAATATTCTCAGCTCTCCAATGCCTTAGATATGTGTATTTATTTGGTTCCGTTTCCGGCTTGTGTAGCTGGACTTGTTTTCATAGTTTTGCTTCAGAATTCGAATATTTATTCACACATACAACATACATAGTTGGTGTGTACTCAAATCTATCACGAAAACTGTGAAATTGTAGTTGTGCAATTTTTACTGAAGCTTTGCACATTATTTATTTATAAAAACAAACAATTATTTAATGCATGTATTTCAGGTTCTCGAATTAATTAGAATATCTGAATTTTTATTTCCTGTATTTATTGATTTAAAGCATACACAATGTGTCACAATTATTAAACAATGTTTATGGCTTTTGTTTGAAAATGTATCAAAACATTTTGCTTAGAAAAAAAATGCAATTAGTAATTGCAACTTTTAATTAAATACCGAGTTTCCACAGAAAGATACGCAGCCAGCGCCATTTTGGCAAGAGTAATGGCCGTCTGTTCGGGTGCTTCCAATTCGATTCTGGCAAAACATTTCCGTTTTTGAAATATTGCTTTTATTTTTTTTGGGCAAGCTGCACGGTGACCCTGTAAAAGCCACAGAGTAAAATCTCTTCCAGTTCGAAGTTGCTGCTGTTGTTGTGGTTATGTGTAACAGCCCCAGCAAAACAGAGCGAGGATAAACAAAGTGCTGTTTGCTGCTGCGCTGTAAGCAATCGATAAAAAACTGTTTTTTTTTTTTGCTGTAACCAGACTTTACTTTATAAATCAGTTACATTCTAAATACCAAAATTTAAGAACAGCTGTAGATGAAATTTCTTTGTAAGACCAAGAACAGGTGGGCGGCATATTAGTTGGTTTGAATACATATTGGTCCAATGTGGACAGGATTGTGGTATAGCTTATAAATGATAAGTTTATTGATTAATAGGTCTTGAACGTTTTTTTTTAAAGCTCGCTATTGCCTTATATCTGTACCCGGCTTGGGAGATCGATGGGGATCCTGCGAGTTCCCCGTCGCGTTACTTTGCAAAGGTTTCTTACCAGTATATAAGGGTGAGCAGATCGATGGGGTGGATCCTGCGAAGTCCCTGTTGCAAGGCAAAAATTTAAGAGTCATTCAATTGATGAGCTGATCCAAGCTTACGATGCGATAATCAAATGTCAATTACGATTCACATTTCAAGCCATCAGTCGCGAATGAGATTTGAACAAGTTTTAAGGCCGCACATGACTGACAGTTTTCCAATTGTGGAACTTTACCCGTTAAACCTTTGCGCTCCTTAGTTTCTAGTTTTTGACATTTTTCCGCACTTGACAACGCGCCGACATGAACTCTGAACGCAGGCTTCATTTTGTTTCCACGCTGCAGCTAGCTTGTCGTTATCTCAGCCTTAACGGAGTTTGCCCTTACGTGCCTTTTTGTTGGTTCCTTGCGCAGCTTAAGAATTCCCAGCTCTGAAATTTGAAATTGCAGGTTTTTTAGTTTTATATTTTTAAGGTCTGCTTGTCACACACTGCTTGCAGTTCATGTTGCCAAGTTTTGTTGTTAAATTCTAATTTGATGGCTTTGAAATTTTCTCGCAACAGACACGAGCTACCTACGAAATACTGATGCACATTTGGCAGTTCTATTATAATTAGGCACATTGAATGTGAAATATCTTGAATTATATATTATTATTAGTAGGAAGTTCCCTGATATGAATACATAAATAATGGCAATGTCTAATAAGTTAATTTCTTAACTTTTACGTTTAAAATGTCAATAATTATTTAAAGTTATTTAATTCCGAACATTTTTCTAGAGTTCAGATATGGAAGCACTTGCTCGCAGCTTGTTTAAATACAGCCAAACCATTATCGCACTTGCTGAACATTAGCTTGAATTGTGTTCGTTGTAAAAACACACATTTCGATAATGATGTTGAGAAGTTACTGTAGTTGACTGCAGCAGTCTGCTTAACGGAAAGCCATTTGCTTAACGATTGACTGGCAACTGCAATCAAAGTAAATGCTCCAGTATAAGCACGAGGAAATCCAAATCCTACTCTTGTGGAATTTAATTAAAATTTAACAATTACCAAATGTGAGCACACACTACATATTACAGATAGTTGGGTAATGTTGTTTGGCCTTATCTGGAATACGTGTTTACTGAAAGCCCCTTAATTTTCTCCAGCTGTGCATTTAATGCCAATGTTTTTTCATCTTGTACAATTTTTTTCTTCGCTTGCTGGCTTTTCATTTTGCTTCTTTTACTTACTGGTATTTATGTGGGGTCTAAATCTAGCTGAGTTGTTAAGACAAATTCTGCCTAAATTTGGGATTAAATTCGTTTTGCTTACTTACCAAGCTGTCGTCCAAATATATCACGCATCTTGTAGGCTCAGCCAGGTCCAGTTTCATAGCCATTGTAGCTCATTTTAAGCTTTGAGTTTATTTTTTTGTGAGTTGTTTTGAAATGCTTCTCTCCGCCTTTGTTTGCCTACCTATTTAATTTATCTTTATTTTATTGTTTTTCTTTTGTGATTTTATTTTTGGCCACAAATTAGCGCAATCAATTTGAAAATTCGTTCCATTTTCAATTGCAGCTTTAGGCATTTTGTGTCCGTAATTTGTGTCCGCCGTAATAAAATCAATTCGAATTTAATGCTGCCAAATTCGCATTATTCTTCGCACAAATTATTGCTTATTTTATTGAAATTTGTTATTTGTGGAATTTACGTCGGCACATTTGCATTTCGATTTGCCATAGACGAAAACAAATTAAATTGTGTTTGCTGGTCATGTCTGGAAGCTGTGAACCAATATTTATATAGGCCTCAAAAGGCTGTCCCTCAGTCAATTTTGTGTCTAGACTGCAGAAGAAACGCAAATCGTTATAATTTTATTGAACTTTGCACAAGCTGGTTTTAATAATAGAAGGTTCGCTTGGCAAGATAATTCGGAGATAGATTACACTAAGCCAAGCAGAATATTTTTTTTGATGATTAATGAGAAATGTGTTACTGAACGATACATTTTGCACTTAATTTAATCACCTGCGTGTGTAATGTACCTGAAATGGTTGCTCATTAAGAACTTTTTGAGCTGTGACTTGATTTATTTAGTTAATCGTCAAGTGTGCTGACTGACCAGTTTATATATGCATATAGATTATCCGTTTCTTCCATGTTGAGTCTGACTTATTGCGTCTTTAAAATTTGAGTTTTGCCAAAAACAAGGTTTAGGAAATTAATTTGACATTAGCTGATGTGGAACAAGCATCACGTAAATATAACGCAACGTGGCACCGCAACAAGAAACGTGCCACATCCTGGACGTGGCACTGTTGCAGCCCGTCTTGTTGCTTCAACACAAGCACACGTGGTTGAATAGCAATTTCAAAGTCATTAAGATGACTGGGTAAAGCTTTAGAAAAACGTTATTTGAACTCATATTAAATCTTTATGACTTGCCACAAAGCCATCATTCATTTTAGGTACACCGACGCATGTGCCACGCCATAAAATATAGCATACTTTTAAGCGCACGTAAAATAATTGAAATCACCTGCAAAATGCCAAAAATGTAAATTGCATTTTAATGAACGACTGCCACTGCTGCTGCTATTGCAGCTAGGCTGCAGCTTAAATGCCAATGCCCAAAAGAAATAAATAAACACAAGCTTTTCAACTGCCGAATCGACAACTGGTCAACTGGGCACAGAGCAGTCTAAACAAGAGTTTATGCTCTGCCCAGCATCGGTCATTGTATGGCAGTTTGCCAGGCTGACTGTTTGATATTTGCTCTGGGCAAAGACGCAACTGCAGTTGACAATAGCAAAGGCTTCGATTGACGCTCCTCTAGTATGCTAGTTAATGGAATTTTCTGCCAGAGATGGACATCAGGGTCTCGAAGCGCCTTAGGCCAAAGGCATTTCGCTCTGTATTTTTCAAAATCAGTTTTATTTGCGACTACATCAGTACAGTGATTTGAATATTTAAAGCGAATTTCTCAGCTCGTGTTTATGTACAGTGTGCATATCATACACTCATACACTCTCAACCTATTGGACACAAGTAGTTAAGCTAATTGAATATTTGATTATTTTACTTGGGACGCCACAAGCCGCAGGTCAACAAGCCGCAAGGCAATTGACGTTGTCATTAAAAATGCAAGGAAATCCATAAATTGCTGTTAAATAATTCGTAAATACTATCAAGATTTTGTTATTAGTTAATTTATTCAATTAGACAAATTTGCAACCTTCAAAGGTAGGCAGATTATTTGCGTCTTTCTAGCTGTAGGCTTTAATTATAAATGATTTGTGTCAAAGTGTCTAATTCCATTTGCATGTGCCTCGATATTAATTCCCTAATAAGCTTTGGTCGAATTTCCCAAAAAAAGGGGATGCCTGATTACTGTAACAGGCCCCAATCAATATAGCCATATAGCCCAATCTATTGTCGAAATGCCAGATTGTAATTTGAATGAAATTTGCA